AATACGTCAACATAAAAAATATAARGCACAATCTTTTCACAACAGCTCATCCTTGCCTAAATTAGCTTACCTACTGGCCCAAAATAAATTTCCCCTACAGAGATCAGAGTCCAAACTACAATTATTTCTATGACACAGCAAATGATGTTGGCATGACGACATTTTACGATTGTTATTTGTTGTCAACATATTACTATATTAATGCCATAGAATACCAYCATGGAGTTATTTTATTTTATTTAACAAGCCACAAGCGTTATAGATACGCGTAAATTATTAAAAACGTGCGTAATAAACTTATACATACGGGAAAAAGTCCACTTTAATATTTAAAAGTAATATGGCATATAAAATATATAAATAATGTTCCGACGCAGTACCTATAATAATAGTTTATTATTTATAAGGCTAATCAATAGTCCACGGTACTTGAACGGTACCTATGTATAAATAKCGATTATAGGTCATTACATTTTATAGCTTTGTTGTTTGTTTAAAAAAAACTGAATGACATCTACACCTGCACCTCCGGTTGCAATGCTAAATTATTTAAAATTTGAAATGTATTAACGATTTTCACTAAAAAGTATAAATCTGATCATTTATACCCAATTAAAAAATTTAGTTGTGCCAGTTGTGGCAAATAAATTAGCAATTAATCTCAAACGTTTTGAGCCTCGAGTGCCTATAGTCTCCTATATTATGTGTTCAAATTTAATTCGATATAAAACCGTTATGAAACTTTCTAAAACAGTCTTTATAKATGTAATACGTATTCAAGTATAATATAAAAACATAAAAAATCTATAACATATAATATGATTCATAATCAATTAACATCAAACAATTAGCGCCTTGAACACTTTTGTTGAGACACTGAGATAGACATTTAAAATACAAAACTTTCGCGTTTAATACAAGACGTGTGGCCAACCTATAGTCACATAGTTAAAAAATGACAATCAAAATAAAGAATTATTTTATCCATTTACAATTATATCGATCAAAAATAAGAAATTATCAATAGAAATTAGGCATTAACACAAGGAATTAATGAAATTATTGTGCAATATTCCCTAACCTATTAAATACGCAAAAATATAATGTTATAAAACAAATTTTAACTGAATCCATTTTATTATACAATTTAGCAAAAAAAAAAAATAAAAAACATAAATGAAATTGGTTATAAAATATATTTGAACATACTTATATTTTATATTCGTATAATATGTATATTTTTAAGTTCGTTATTATAAACAAATTTTCTATTTTCAATAATGTACTTATTTRAAATAAGCAATAAGTAGGCAATTAATTATTGTTCTTAAGGTAACCACCGATATTTACATGCTAATTGGTTATAAAATATATTCGAATGCACCTAATTATATTTTACGTTCGTATAATATGTATACATTTTTCTAAACAAAATTCGAACAATATATAATGTATTCTAACATTGTACTTACTGGTTTTAAATATGTTTATGTAAAAATGTTCAGTGTAGATCAACATCGTTGTTAAACAAATTATCACCCAACACAGTATCACAATTTTGAGTATCATAATTTATTTTCACACAGGAAGTTCTTTTGATCGCAGTCGAAGGATCATTTTTTCTCGAGAATTGTGTTTTACGTAAATACTTTTTCAATAGCCCGATTTAATTTAAATTTGTAACTAAATAAGGAACACATAGTTAAAGAATTAATTATATAGTTAATAGGTAAAAGAGAAGAAGAAGATGTCGTCTGTAAGCCACATAACTGAATATTCCTTCAACTATTTCAGTAGGTCAACAATCTATTGCGGCGCTGCTGACCTTGACTTTAAGAAGGAGTAACGGCGACAGTAGGTACTTACCACCTCCAACACAACTGGTTTTTCTACTTAATATCATATTAGTATTACATCCTTTATAAAAATAAAAATGCATCAAAAYGATTTCCTATAAAATTTGAATGTTATTATAAAAATAATTGTTTATCGGTACACGCATAGAAAACTAAAATGTGAAGTAAATTACACAAAAGTTTAATATTTATATTTATGTAAGTAAGAAGCTATTAAGAATTCTAATAAGAATGTAGGTCAAGTTTAAATACCTGCAGAATATTAGTTATTAACGTTAACAAAAGTTAAAAAGAAACTTAAGAAATAAATTATATTGTTAGTGAGTATAAACCCAAATTATGAATATAAAAAATCACTAATTTAAATATAACAGAAGTGTGTTATCTATTATGGACTTTCATTGTTGTACAAGAACACAAGATCGACAAAAATGTATAGCCGTTTTTTCCCTGTACCCTTCAATAATACATTAAAAAAATTCATATCGTGGATGTAGCTTTCAGCCCACGTTACTTTGAAAACCAAGAATTTTTTTAATTAAAAATTCTGAAAAAAATTRAGGGATCAATAACGGTAAGTTATTTTAACCAAATGTAAGAATATTTTTTCGATGATACAGTGGTAGACCGATATAGCAGTAAGTATGGTAAAACTTTTGGTAAATACTTTCTCGAAAACTGATTTTAAATGGTTATTTTTACTTGAGGTTGATAAGTCCGGTTTTTGAAATTTCGTTCTTAAACTCCTATAGAGACATAAGGTTTGAATACTTCGAACATATTATGAAATTTTATTAACGTAGATTATTTGAAATTGAAATTAAAATCTTAAAATGTAGCCTGATAGATCTCAAGTAGATGATAATATATTATGATTGAATGCAAAACAGTTTTCAAGAGCCCTGCCATATTTTCAGGTTCATTGGTGGGATTCAAAAAATGTAAAAATTGTTATAAAATTATTTAATGAGCATTTCCTATACATTCTTTAACGATTACCAGTGCAACGCCGCATTGGTGAATTGTACGTGTTTCGTGTGCTTTGCACTCAGAAATGAGAAAATTGCCTATATTTAACTCCTGAAATACTGTCCGTTTGTAATATAAATTTGATATAGACCGTTTCTAAGGAGGTCAATATAGGCAAATTTTCAAATGTATACAAGCGTAAATGTGTGCGTATAGAAAGTGATCATTATTCATTCTTCATTAGTATGTGTTAGATAGTTTAGTAAAAGTAACAGTGGAGCGCTCCCTCACGTGCACGCACGACATGTCACATTAAGRTGCTACACGCCTTTTCTTTTTCTAAACGTATCAATCTTTTGCCAATTGTATCATCTAACATTCTAACCTATTTATAAAATGTATAAGAACATTTTTGAATTCTTCATTAAGCTTACTTGAAAATTACTTCCTTAAATGTTGTAATTAATTTTTTAGCTATAATTAAAATTTTAAAATTTTATATTTTAGAAAATTTAAGGACTTCAAATTTGAATTTTATAAAAGTCAAAAAGTAATTCTTTAATAAATTCCTTAACGAATTCAAATATTGTTCTCAGAAAATATATCGGTTAATATTATAATCATTAAAACAGGTCTGTGTTGGTAGAAAACCTATGCGGAATCGAATGCATTTAAGAAATTATGTTTACGTTTATACCTTCAAAAACTGAAAAAAGATTGACGGCTGAWAATTGTAATATTTATCAAAAGGGTTTCAAACACTGTACAAATTGTAATTTGTTATACGTTATAGCATAAAAGTATTGAAATCAATTAAATTAAATAATTAAACTAAACAAACAAATTCTAATGCTGTAAAACATAATAAACTCAAAAA